TTTTCACACTTGAGTTTGATACTCAAGTACCTTTTAAGAACATAGGTTTTGCTTTGCTCCTTTCGTTGGCATTTCTTCCTTCTTCACTTCTGCAAAATCCTTTTGTGCCTTCTGTATGGCACCTGGGTAATTAATCAAGAACTAAAAAAACTCTGCACAGCGTGGCACAGCATGACAGTACTTCTGTGGATTTAGGTCAACTAATTTACAAAGCACTTAGCATGTGTTGATAAGAAAACCAGGATATTCCATTTCTTCAGCAGAGGTTAGAGAGAGCTCACAGAAGAAGCTAAAGACCATTCTGCTTAAGTAGATGAATAATCCATGGAAAACTGCGTCTCTAACATGATATATTAAGAATGGTCTCCAGTTTCAAAGAACAGTTATTATTATTTTTCTTTTGACAGCGCTTTTCCTGCTATATAGTTCTGCTGACAGCTCCTTTTCTCTATTACACTATTCATTACACTGTTCATTTTAATAAAAGTGTACATTTCTGTTTCACAGTCTGCATAGTCTCTAACCAATGGCTCACGGATAGTGTTTAACTGCAATATCCTCTGACATTGCTTTGAGTTCCATGGAAAGAAAAACCTAAAACTAAGACCAGTTGGGAACACAGCATTTAGTTTGACATTGCCACTGGTATATTACTTAATGTTTTCATGCCCATGAGTCCACGAAGTCTGAAATCTACAGATCAGGGTAGGCTGAACTCTCAGGAGTTCATAGTTTTAATTAGAATTAATGAGGAAAATTAATTTGAATATATAATTTTCTAATCAAAATGTAATCTAGTTAATAAATTCAACTTACTGGTTGACTTATATGCTATTTTAAAGTTTATCATATTTATGTAGGGAAGGACACATTGTCTCACTGCAAAGCATGAAACTAAAAAGAAGTTAAAGGCAAAAGAATAGGAAAAATTTAAAAGTACTAACAAATTGACTATGTAGATGAAAGTCATACTGCATTTACACACTGAAATGTTTCAGTGAATGAAGCACAGGTGCTGAAAACAAGATCTTCATCTTTCTGACCAGAAAATGCCAACACTAAAAACTCTAGGTGTGCTTAACTTTGTTTCTAAGACTAACAAAAATACTGGCCTTGGAAATATGAGTTATGTACAAAGCAAATAGACAATAAAAGACAATAAATGAAAAGCAGATATTTTATGCCTAGGAAGGGCAAAGTAAACTATTCAGTAACATCTCTAGTTTTAGTTAGATTACAATTTGGGTGTTAGTACAATAGTGCCGTAAAAGAATTTGCAGATACACATTGATGCAATAAATAACTCTTGAAGAACAATAATGTACCAAAGAATTTCACCCAAATTGAACCTAAGATCATAACATCCGCTAGCATTACTACGTCTCGGGAAAGTATGCACATGCATGATGGCACCATTTGCTCAGTGTTTCAGATGGTTAAATTTTAAGCTACACAGACACTTCTGCCTTCAGTTCTGCAGCTGGATATCCTGGAATTCTGGGCCATTAGAGATTTATGTTGCTTCTGAATTATTTGAGAACAGGAAATGTCTTGTCATACTGGTAATGCAAACAGGCAAAAAGCCCTTCCAAAAGGCTCTGGACTGTCATTCAAAACAAATGAATTCTGTTTGTCTTCAGAGTGATTGCAATTAACAGCCTACTAAGTAAGACCATGAGTGTCTGTTCCTCGGGATTATCGGGACAGTAGCTGCAAACTGGAAATTAACAACTGTTGCAGCTCAAGATATACCGCAGCTCACTTCCAGATGCTTGTGAAGCCTTAACTGGCTTTGGTGATGTGTATGGTTAGTAAGGATCTGAACTGAGACATTTGAGATAGAAGAGCCTCCTGAGTTATCCAAAATCAGCTTTGTAGTAAGGGTATAATATCTTGTAATACATTACCAGTTACAGTTACAAGGAAGGTTATGAATGCAGTGAAGGTTTAAAATTCTTCATATAAATCTTCTTTCTTTTGCAAAGTCCAGTAACCAGCTGTACTGGTTTTGTCTAGTATTGAGCTAAATTTCTTCACAGTAGCTTGTATGGGGCTATGTTTTGGATTTGTGACGGAAACACTGTGTGAGGCTGAGCTGCCAACAGAGGTTAAACCATGACACTAGCATGGTTTGAACTCAAGCACTATGTTTATCATAACTATAACCTCAAAACTGACAGTATTTTAACAAACATCCCAGTTTCCAATAAATGGGGCAGAATTAACCATAAAATGGAACTGCCTAATCAAAAAATCGCAAAAATCAGAATCAGTATCCTTAATACTTTTTGTCCAAAATTTTGTTTCAATTATCTAGCAGAACTTAAGTGAAAACCACCAAGCCACACTCATCTCTGACTGAAGCTCATGCAAGTTAAAAAACATGCATAAGTATCTAAAATAAGTATCTAAATAAGTATTTAAAGTAAGTATCTACATAAGAATCTAACTAGCTTTTACAATAACTTAGCAACCCCTTCTCTCAGTAACATATATGTTGCAACATACATTGCAAGACATCACACCACTGAGCTATCCTCCTGGACCACAAGCATAAAAATCAGAGTAGTAAGTCAGAGCAAGGGTGGACTACACCCCAACATCTTGTCTCAGACAACACTCACAATGGAAAGCCTATGAAGAGCTTGAAGGCATATATAGTATATTTCTTTAATAGTTTTGTTAGTCTCAGTTTTTAGCTCAAACACTTCCTGAGCCAGATGTGGTTATGTATTCATATAATTTTCCATCAATTTCTTTTCGACAGACTTAATCCATGACCCCATGTAAATTTTTAGTGCCCACTAAAACTTACACTAACCAACATGAGCGCTCCAGCACAACACTAAAAGCAGCTTCAATTTCAACCATCATGCCACTATCCACAAGACATTAGTTCTTACCATTCCCAAACCAGTTAATCTAGTAAGCCCCTCCCAAAACTTGAAAAATTAAGCTTTCAGTCTATATTCTCTAAAACACTGCTGTAGCCTAAACCTTAAGAAAACCTGAAGAACACATGCTGGCAGCGGATAAAACCTTAATCACAAGCCTTGGCTAAATCATTATCCTAGGCATACTTCAAGTATCCTAGATATAATTCAAGTCTGAATTATCAATGCTGCTATTTTTTCTGTTCTTACTGTCCCAGCCTTTAAACTTAATAACAAACATTAGGTAATCCTAGGCTGTGGTGCAGCAACCCATTGTACAACAGCAGTGCAGCAACTTGCCACTTGTTGCAATCGATCAGGCACACACCTAAACTTAAATAATTTATTGCAGCCAGACCAGGCTTCAGCCTCTCTCTGCACATCCTTAAGGATCCATCAGCAGTAAATGCTGCTTTTAGTTATGGCTCTCCCTAAAAAGAACTCCAGAACCACTCAGCTCTTCCTCTATACAGCTGTGGCCTCTGCCTGTACCATGATTATCCCTAAATCACTTGCCTCTCTGTGCACTGACCACTAACATTTGTCCCTAATAACCCAAACCGTAATTCAGATAGGGGCTGATAATTCAAGTTTAATTCGGAAGATTGGGCTTGATGGCATGGAGCTTCATCAAATTAATTTAAAAAGCATTTTAATTCATTTAAAAAGCATTTTAAATCATTATCTATTCTTACTAGCCAGAAGCTCTTCCAGTGCTGACAAAGACATCAATTCCTATTCACTGCAGTGCTGAAACCTGGGAAATATCATATTCTCAGTAGCCTCTAATGGTGCAATTAAGAAAAGCTATAAGGACAGCAGTTCTTTTGAGCTCTTCAGCCTGTCATCTCTAGCAACTGCCTAGCTCCTGAAGGGAACTGCTACCTAATTAGAAAGTAGTAATGAAGACAGACCCAATGGAGCATCCTGCAGAGACCTGCATGAAGTCTGGCTTACCGAATCCAAAGGAATGTTCCTGCCTTCTCCATATGCTCCTGAGGTCCCACTCCAGTATTGCAAGATACCCATCAATAATCCCTGTTGATTTTCCACAGTGCAGATGAACTGTGCTGACTGTTGCAAGTGTTTACAGGGGAAAAAAAGAAGCCTGATCTCATTAGAAGTCAAGCAAAGTAATTTTAAGGTGATCAAAATATATTGCCCAGATGTTTGTACACATTACTCTCAGAGGGCTTCTGCATTAGCATTATCCACCAGAGTTGAAATCGTAACACTGTAATTCTTTGCGGTAAGCACTGACAGCTCTCAGGATTTTCTTTTTACAAATTATTTCTAAAATCCATTTTTATACTACTGATATTTCTATTCAGTATTTCAATTATTAAAGACATAAAAAACGAGTAGCATTTATTATCATAAAGACAATATTAGACAAAAGACAAAATATTTTTGACATTTTTATCCCTGCAACTGCAAGTTTTATTCAGAAATAAAAGAGATCCTCAGGGAAAACCAACCTTGCAATTAACTCAGAATACTAAACTTGCAAGGCAATGTTTTCTCAGGCAACCTGCAAACATCCATTCCACTGCTAGATAAAGGTATAGTAACATTACTTAAGTTCTCATAGACTTACACAAAATCTGTACACTACAGGTTGCCTCTCTCTCACAAACACACTGAACAAGCTGGGTAACAGAATGAACATGAGCAGATGTCAAGGAAATAGCTATTAAGTAATTGTCATATCTCCAATGAACACAGCTCCAATCTTACAGTGTGTGTGTAAGATTTACTTCTAATCTCCACAAACAACTGAAAAAAAACCTTGGAAAACTGCCTTTGATAACACATTTACAATCGTTACTCACACTTGCCTGTTAGTATGAGAAAATCATTACCTGAGGAAACACAAAGCAATCTCTCCAACACAGGGATTTCCAACCAAAATGAGGACTAAGTCAGAGGGTTGCACAGTACAGGTGTTTTATCACCCTGTTCAGCTATTTTTCTCAATAATTATAAATATTAAGAGCATCAGTATTAATAATTTTGTCCCAGAGTAGACTTCTGCAGAATCAGCTCGGTATTCTGATTTTTCTTGACAACGATACAGATCTAGCCTTAAATCAGAAAATTGAACATTCTCTGCATTTGGGGCTAGAATTGTACTTTGTAGTAAATGAATGACATTTGCATCTTCTTTTCATGGACCTGCAAACACAGAATATCTATACTGTAATACAGCTGTTCCTCACTATATAGCATCTTTCCATTTCCAAGTAAAGAAATAACCTGTCAATCTGTCTGCTGTCAATTGCATTCCCATCACTCCAACTTCATAAACCTCATGACAAAGGAGAAAGCACTCTAGAAGCAATGTTGAAAATTGAAAAATGAAACATTGCCTCCATTTTGCATAAATTGCTGTCTGTAGCTCTAAGTTTTGACCATAAGCCTGATCCAAATGAAAAGCTCTCTAGAATTTTAGCAGGCAGCAGTTTGGAGACCACTGGCTTATAGCATGACTAAAGAAATACATTTCAATGTTTCATTCCTTTCAGAGGATCTAAGAACACCAAACTATATTTTTGATATTGGATCTGGGTTATAAATTCTAATCCATCTGGGAAAAAAAAGCAAGCAAGAAGAAAGCCTATTCAAGGCATCAAAAGTGTGCTCAAGAGTAGACTTTTAGCCCCACTGTGTTCACTTCCCAACTATCAACAATTTTCACTGATTTCAGTAAACTCAGATCTTTGACTAGAGAGTACTAAGATGTGTGTGGGTTTTCAGTAGGATGAAGATCTTACTGAGACTAAACACCGTAGTAGAATATAGCCTTTAATCAACTCAGAAAGCACTTCCGACTTGCAGAGAAAAACAGTATGATTGAAAGTGAAGCACGCGCTGAAATAAAACTTTCTAATATTTTATAGCACGAGTCTATACTGTTCAATGAGTAAACGGGGCAACATTTTCTGTAAAATTTTTGTTTCAAGACAAAACTTTATTTATGCAAAAGTGCAGAATAAGCTGTCACTAGCCTTCCTGGTTTAAATTCATCATCTGCAGCTCAGCAGATGCTAAAGTAAAATCTTTCCTGACAGCTTACACAAAAAGGTTTATCAGGTCAGTTGCTGAAGTTGACAAGACATGCATTGACCTAAACCAACATTTTTTCATCCATCCATTCATCCATCCATCCATCCACCATCCAAAAGGCCTTAGTAATATTTCAGAATGATAAAAAGTGAACAGAGATAGGTTATTCAGGAAGTAAGTATTAGAGTTGCTGTAATTTTAGATTTTTGTGTCACAGATTTCCCGGTTTCCCTTTTTACATTACCATCATTTCTGGCGATGTATATATCAATATAAATATTAATTGATAAAAACACAAACAGAAGTAGTTCTACAAACTAAAGGCTGTTCCATCAAATAAGATTCTTATTTTTTAAAAAAAAAGGTTACTTCATCTCTTGATATGCCTGAATATCATTCAGGACAGTAAGATGTCATGTGGAAATGTATACAGCACATACACGGAAACATCTAGACACAGCTGAGACTTACTCCTGTTTACAGATGCACTCTGTATCACAATTGCAGAGCAGATAAACGCAAAAGACATGCTACAGTTCGAATAGAAGTTACACGCCTGAAGAAAAGAATTAACACAAGCTATATATTCTGTGTTATGAAGGTTCTGCTTCAAAATCAGGCTGTTGTAACAGTTTCTTCCACAATCTAATAACATAAGTGACTAAGCCACCATTAGGACATCTTTGAGCCACTACACTTTATGTAAAATAGCTTTGGTGAAGGGAGTAAATACTTCTGTGCTCTGGACTCTTAGCTAACACTGAATTAACACTGGCATATGCTAGACATTAGTTCTACTGTAATTAATTGATAATTGCAGAGGGAGAGATAGATCAAATGCCCTGTCTTTAGGTCCAATGTGAGATTTCAAATAAAATGCAAGCATCTCTCCTAGACTTCATTTCAGAGGTGTTTCAGTAAAACTTAATATCAAATAGTTTGTAACTCAATATGCTCATCTCAACTTGACACTGGGAAAACAATTTTCTAATCTGATTTATTCATCATGGTCTCATTTAATAAAGCCTAAAGTAACAATGTACTAAAGAAAAAGACAAATACTGATCTAGATAATCCAATACAAAAACATAATTTCATACAAATCATTCTTTTACCAGTTATTATGTTTACTATAGACAGAATTAACAATTTTTCTATATAAAAAGCAAATTATTTTTAGACTCTCAAAAAAGTATCTTAATTTAAACAAACAGCAAAAAAAAATATCTCACACTATACGGATGTCTGTTAGGGGACAAAGCCTGAAATACTGAACAAAATCTTTTGGATGACAGTCCATTCCATTTCACATAGCCTGGAAAGTCAGAAAATGCTTCTTTTCTCTTAACAGTGCTAAAAAAGAGAAGCATCCCTGACAGCTTAGATATAATCAGAAAAATTTCAATAAACTGCTTGAAGCAGTAAATATGAAAGGTTGCAAAGCTGTGGTCAAAATTTAAAAAAAGTTACTAAGCAAAGGGATGCAGTGAGAAGGAAGGAATTAGAGATACTGGCTACCAGCAGCAACAGAAAATATCAAAATGGGAATCAAGGTATGAAATATGAAACAGAAATATGAAAATATGAAATAAGAAGCAACTTTGTAGCAAAGGCTGGGTAACTGGATATGAAATAAGACCAAAGGGGATGTGAAGATTCATTTCAAGAGAGAAAAAGTGATACAACTGAAACCTGTAGTTTTGGCAGGAAAAAGAAGAAAAGGGCATGAGCACATACATCAGATACCTCTTTCATCTGAATCCTACCAGTGCCATGCATGCAGTCTTACGTACTTTAGGATGGGAAAGCTGCTCAAAACATAGAGACAAAACCAGGTCAAAATAGCAACAGTGAAAGAAAGTCAACTTATTTATTTGTCTTTGCAGGATGAAATACACATTTTCACAGAAATACACAGATTTACACTAAATATCTAGCAAATAGTGAATCATTTTAGAATATCTCAAGATATGCTACTTACATAGAAATATTTAAGAAATTAATAGGAAGAGTGATTTTTTTAAATACATAATTTCCTGAGATTCATAACATAAAGCAAACATTCAAGGCACTGGGAATTGTTTTCCTTCTGTAAGTGAAATTGATGTGCTGTAAGAGTCGTTAACCATTTTGCCATGAAAACTTCAGCTAGCTTAGTTCTTCTACCTGTTTAAAATGGAGCACTCATTCCCAAAATTATTGCCCTGATTCACAGCTTTATAGTTCCTTTAAACCCAAACAGCCATTTCAGTGAACACTTAACTTGTCTGCTCCTGACTGTAAGCCAAATGCTTCGTACCGTGAGCTGCAACCAACACGCTGCCCCGGCGTACAGAAACAGCCGTGTCGCAAAGCCATGCACTTGTGTACCATGTGTGCCGTGATATTCTTGTTCCTATTGTCCTTCTCAAGGTCCAAGGAGAGCAGACCATACCTGGGTTCTAGACCCGGTATGGCACAGGTATTGTTTAGGCAGGATGACACAACCAGACAGGTGCATAGGAAGTACCATTGGTGGGAGAAAGTACAACTTCCACATCGAGCTGGGACTCCAGTTTAAACAAATGAAACAAAACAACAAAACAATCCCCCCCTTGTCTATTGGAACCATTTTTAGGCATCCACTTGAGCGAGTAAACTTTCTTAGCGTAAGTTATTTGCAAGCACAGAACCAGCGATCAGCTCAGATGCCCAGCTGGGGTATCTGGCGGCGCGGCTGCCTTCCCTCCCTCCCGGGGCTCTTACTCTTTGGCGGAGGCGCCCTGCTGCATCGAGTTGTTCGGGCTGCCGAGACCCCTCTTTTTGCCCGCCTTGGAGGCCATGGCCGCAGGTCCCGCCGCGTCCGCCGCGTTGCTGAGCGACGCGGCCTTCTGGACGTAGCGGCGCCAGCGACGCCTCGCGATCCAGGGGATCTCTGGCCACTCCCTCCCGGAAGTCGTGTCCGACTCCCGCGGAGGAAAGGCCGGCAAGAAACACCCCGGTTGGAGGAGGCGGTGCGGCAGACGCCGCCGGCCGCGGAAAAACGGCCGCTACCGCCGCCTCGGGGCAGCGGGCACCATGTGAGGGCCCGCGCCCGTCCCGCCTGGGCGCCGTCCCCGCTCCCAGGGACGAGGAGCACGGACACGCTGCTCGCTGCCATGTTCGCGCTCAAGGAACCAGAAATGTGGCATAAAGCGCCTTCTCGGGAAAAAGGCTTAGCGTCGAAGGTGATGAAGGACTGCTTTCTCAGCTTGCGGCGTAGCTTCAGGGATCTAAATACATTAAATTGAAAAAAAAGTAAAGAATTTCTAAAATTGAATGAATGTTGTAATTGCATGACTTTCTGTTCAGCAAGGAAAGAGCAAGAGTAAAAAGTAGCAATTTGAAAGGGTAGCAATTTTTCCCCCTTTTTATATGTATACATATAAACACCCTGGGAAGGAAGAAAAAATAGAAAGAAAATAAAATTAGTCCTGGAGCCTGGAGAGATTTTAAAGCTGGAATAGGCAAGTAATTTTTATTTTTTTTATTTCTTTTGCTTTTTTTTCATTTCAAAATGATGCAACCAATTAATTCCTGTTACAAACCCTCTGATTACCAGGGTGAATGAAGTTCCACCAAGGTCAGGTAAACCTAACATTAACTAGCTACTTTTGAATTCAGCAGCTAGTTGACTTCAACTAAACCAAGAGGACTTTTTCCAGATACATATCCACTTTCAGATACATTTATTGCAAACAGCTCCCCCTTTGTCTCTTCACCTATATACTGTTTCCCAATCTGTAGTGCACAATGAAAAATCCATCATAAAGCAGAACATACTTATTCAAGCTAAGTCTTTTTTAAACATTAAAAAAAAAAATCAATAAAAAATTATCTGTCAAGTTGCAGAGGGCATAAGTAGATCAAAAGATGCAAGGAAAAGTACGCAGATGTTGCTACATCTAGAGGCTTATTTTAGACAAATGTCAGGTCTTGATTTATATCAATATGACAGAAGGCCAGATACATACTTTTAAATTTCAAAGTGGAAAATTCTTCCACATCTTTGCATTTCCTTCAGCATCATGTGCAACAGCATCCATTTTAAACAAGGTACCTTGGGACACTTCTCAGTCAAGAACCAAGTAAACATTTGAGGTTTATTTATTTATTTTCGAAAACAGAGCAGCTGCTCTCTCTTCAGACAATTAACACTATTAAATATTGATCAGAGGATGCAGATGAATAATAGACACAGCAGTGAGTTTAAATACAGCTGGCTACTGCTTCAGTACCAGTGCAGGGCTGCTAACCTCCACACAGTGCTACCTGCTCACACATAATTCCAGGTGGAGGCTGGAACTTAAAGGACTAAGTCTGTGAGCCAGAATGCTGACAAAACCACCCAGATAGTCTGTCATTTCTGTCTATTCCTCTGAATCCCTTTTTCTTTTCCTATACTCAATGGGCAGCGGAACTACTATGGAAAAGTATCTATTAAAAATAAGGGTAAGAGGCACCTGTAAAAGTCTTCATAGTAGGAAAGTTTCCTTCCTGATCCCACTTCAGATGACCAGTGAGATTTGTAGCATTCTAGAAATGTAGTTCTTGTAATACAATTATAAAAAATACAACAGAAAAGTAACTGAAATTTGAGTGCATCTGTCTGTAAATGTTTTTGGGTGGTGAAGGAGGAAGGACAGAAATGCACTTTTTACCATACAATTCTACTACATGTTTTTTTGCAGACACTGATGACATTAAAAGCACATATCCAAGTGCTTTGTAAAGAAAAAAAAAAAAAGGATCTCAGGTTTTGCATCCGTCAAGTTCCATCTTTTTATTCATCCAGAACTTAATTTAGAATGCCATAACCAAATAGCAAAGACAAGGGCAGCTTGTTTGGAAAAAGATATTAATCCGAATTTTAAAACACCTAGTTTTCTAACTGGCAAAGAATCTAAGTCAAATCAGCTGTTTCACTGGCCTAGTGTCTCAAGCCATGAAATATATCTGACAGACACTCCCTGAAGGGAAAAGATGTTAGGGCAGAGGCAGCCTTACAGTTGGAAAATGTTTTATTGTCTTTTGTATTTATTTCACAAGAAGAACAGTGAAGTTTATGTCAGGAACCCATTGGGATGTAGCCAAACATATACCAAGACAATAGGTAGTGGTTAGCAATAGGATAGGTGGCATTCTGGTCACCATTCTTCTAAGACACCATTCAAAACATAGCACACACAAGTCACAGGAAAACAGCCTTTTAGTCCTAAGTATTTTGCACTTTTTTGCAGCTACAAATACTAGTTGGAGAAAGCAGAAAAAGAGCAACTATCAACAGGAGCACTACCAATGCTTCTCTCCGGGGTCTTGGAGCTCAGATTTAACTCTGATTTTACAGAGGACACTAGGATTCCAGAACAAGACAGGGGAAAGTTTTTGCCTTAAGAGAAGACCTGGAACGTTGTACAAGGGTGAATCTTAGTCTGTAGAATTTCTTGATGAAAGACTAAAGGCACTCAGATTCTTCTCAGAGATGCCCAATGATAGAAAATACGAAAATTTAAATACAGGAAATTTCTCTTAAAAAATAGATTTTTTTGTTGTGTTTTTTTTTTTTTTAAACTACAAGGAGGGTTATCAAACATTGGAGCTAGAAAAATTAAGGTTCTGAAAAATAATTCTTTTAGCAGATTTTTTTTAAAGGATGCTCTTATTTCCACAACTCTCTTCTGCTTATTTACTAAGTGAAAGAGTAGGTAGGAGTGAGACAAGGAAGGTACAGGTCAGTGGGAAAGTGTGAACAGGGGGAGGACAGCAGTGGGTTGGCATTTCAGTTTAAAGATCAAAGAGTAAAGGGTGATCAGGAAAAGGGGGAGTGTGATGGGAGACTGGCAGTGCTTGAGAGAAAGGAAACCCTGCAGTGTGTGACAGATCTTGGGAGGAGCAGCCTGTGTAGAGTTAGGAACAGACAGCTCCTGAGGTGACATAGGACAGGGAACTGAACTTTAGCAAAACCATCCTCAAACAGACAGACTGAAAATATTCTGTGATTCTGTGATATTCACAAGCAGCTGTATTCTGTTAACTCTTAAGTCAGCCTGAGGTTAGGGAGCAAAGTGGGGAAATGGATTATATGAGTATCTTGGGTAAACTCATGGAATAAGACAAGGTAGTGAAGGAAAACCACAAACAGCTGAGTAACAGAAAACAGTCTAAGTGCAGGACCTTCCGCCAACTGCAATTTCAAAAATATCTTGACACCGTGTCTCAACAGGGACATGCTTTTTCTAGCATTCCAGCCTCCCCTGAATTTGACATAGCACTAGAAATGAATCTGATGAACCCTAGCTGTGTGATTTCCACTTCTCGTTCTGTTGAGTTCTCTATTTGACAGAGCACCTTTGAATTACATTGTGATACAGTCTCATTTTGGAGGATGACAGCACCAAAATATTCAATATTCAGCAGAGTGCTACATAAACATTTTGTAATATACATGTGATTAACATTCCTCCAGAAAAGTCAGGAACAAGATCATAAATTGATGTACCTCTAAGTTGTCTTCAAACTTGTTTTTCCAATCTACCAAGTCAAAACAAATGATCTCTAAAAAAAAAATACTCCAATGCAGGATATATTCTGTAACTTCTGAAACATGTAAAAACAACCAACGCCATTATGACATTTATGCTATCACACTTATGACACAATCCACTCGAGCTACAGTAAACCTCAGCTAATTGTGCTTAAAAAAATAATCCAATGAAAACAAACAGCATCCTGATGGACAATCTAATTGAAAGTCCTTCCTCCTTAAACTACTGAATACTATAAAGCAGTGACTTTGGGTACCTTCAGGCAAAGCATAGTTGAAAACAGCAATTCTTTAAGTTTCAAGCAAAGTAGTTTGTCTGTACATATATCCCCAGAAGTATCAGCACTTCAACCAGCCAGATGCTGTCTGGCAAAAAGAGACTAGAATTAATCTTTGTACACAAAACAACTATTTCAGTGTTGCACAGTACTGGATAAATATTTACCAAGTAGAAAATCATGTTTGAGGCCTGGCAATTTACAGTTAATACAGAATGTATCTTAGTTGGGCAGACATTTTGCTACATCAATGGTGGCATAGCACAGTCAATTAAAATTCACTCATTATCACCAAATATGCTTCAACATGATGTGACCAATGGAAATGGGTAATGCAGCCCAAGTACTATACTGCAGAGTAACCTTCAATGCCATGGTCTACAGAACACTTTTGAAATATGAAAGTTAAAAACCAAACCCACCTGAGTATGAGGGGTTGAAAATCCATTATTCTGCATGGATATTGCATAGTATTTTGATGCATACCAGAAGCTTAGAAACAGAATTAAGAGAATGTCCATGCTATCCTTAACCTTCAAGGCACCAAGAGCTTTCCAACAGGACCGACAATTATTAGCATAACTTAAGCTTTCAGAAAGGTCATAATTAGAAACAGGTTAAAAGTTCCTAAGTTCCAAGAAAAATGATAAGGCTAAACAGAAGAAGCCTATATGTTTCATCAAAAGACTGAATGCTTTATTTTGTCTCCTAGAACCTGTAAAAGATAGATAGTAATTAAAATGCCACATGACATATAGCAGCTACCTTTTACTCCTAGTTACAAGTTAAGGACAATAAGGTAAACAATTCTGCAAAATTTAATTTTATTTATAGTTCAGGCCAAATGATGATTTACCTAGTGACAAAACGATGCAAGATCACTATGCTCATCTCTTTATTATGTTTGCAAAAGGATGAAGGAACCAATGTCGAGATGCTGCAAACCTCCCAAGCTCTACAAGCTATCCAAAACACCATCTCTACCTGAAAAAGGAAGTTTTTCTTAAGGTACTCAGGGCAGGAAGCATTTTGTATGTACGCAGACTGATATGACAAAATAACCAGCTAATAGAATTTACCCATATAAGTCATATAGGATGTCTAAGCTAAAAGTTCACTGAATAAACGCTATTTTAGGTGTTGATAAAAGAATCCATAATCATGTATTTAAAAATACACTAAGTACTTTTTTGTTTCTCCTGTTTAGACAAATTGAAACAGAGAATTGATATTAGAGAGCATTATAATGGTCATGTACGAAACAGGCACAACTTTGTTCAAATACTCTTCGCTACATAGGCAGATCTGAATCCAGTATATTCCTTAGTTTCAGTATTATTCTGCTGCAGGACAAAGAACTTTGTTTAAGTGACCTTTTGTGTACTGTCAAGTGAACAATTATTTCAGTTCAGAATCATTATTTATCTCACTGGCATTTCATTAATGTATATTTTTACTTCTGAAAGTACATTGCTACCCCCATTCTTAAACTCTTTAGTAATTCATTATATGAAGGACAAAGGCATATACACACTTACATAACTGCATTTCTGTACCAAATAAGGTGTTCTGTAAAGGGAGACAGAGGTAGCCAGTTCTCTATTTCAGAATCAAGGTCACCAGCAAGATGTTAAGACTAGAAAGACAAGGGAGCAACAGTTTAAGAGCAAAGTGCTTCACTGTTCAATATCATACTTTTATTGCACATATTTCTTTTATAACTATTTCTTCTTCTTACCATATATCAAATGATTACTTGGGCACTGATTCTGTACAAATGACTCAAACTATTCCCCAGCACTTAATCACTACAGAAAAATAAGGATTTGTTTAATGTAAAGAGTCTGTCTAAACTTCCACATATCTTTCCAAATAAAAGTTCTTGGGTTAATTAGGACAGGACCTCATGACTGGTTTAATTGACTTAAACACTTCTCCACAAACTACAGTCTTTCCTCTGCAAGAGAGATGCTCCCATTCTCTTCCTCAGGCTAGAAAGGCTTAGACTAGGTAAACTCTCAGGGGTCAGTGAAGCACTGAAACAACTTTCCCAGGGCCATACAGTCTCCATTGTTGAAGGTTTAAGATCAGAGCACACTTAAGACCTGCACCAGCACCCTGATATAACTTTGGTTGGAGCAAGGTGTTGGCTTAGAAGACTTCCTAAGAACCCTTTCATCTGAATTGTTTTATGATCTTAAGGCTAGTTAAACCCAGTTTTAGCTTATGCCATGCCTTACTGTGGTATTTTTAAATAAGTCTTTAGTATAGCAGCTACTAGAAGATAAAGTTGCTTTCAAATGTCAATGAAAGCATTTGTGTATAGGGTGGGACATATGTGAAGATTCATGTTCTCAAAAGCATACACCAACAACATACAAGATGCCCAAATATATTTATTTGTCTCTTTTAAAGTATTCTTTAGAAAGAAAAAAAAAGACAGCCTAGAAATTCTCAGTACAGATTAAAGTATATCCAATCAGGCACATACTTTATGCTATTGTTTAAGTAAACATCAGCACAATAAGACCAAGATAAGACTTCTGAAGTCAGTAGCAGTGAGGTACCAGGACAGAAGAAACCCTTAAAATAAAGAGGAGCTTCAAAGCCTTTCAGCCAAGCAGAGACAGAGTTCCAGAACAGATTCAAGAACCATGAAGTCTCTCTAGGCCTTTTGATCTTCATTTGCTGCCAAAAATACATGAGTTATAACAAGGAAACATAAGCATCTCAGTATACAGTTACAAACTGGTAAGGCAGTTCACCAGCTCTGAGTAGTCAGAAGAGTGCAGTACTGTTCTAAAATTGAAAAAGATAGAGCTTGGGGTGGGGGTTTGATAGGCTAGCAAGAATCAGTTAAGCTATTAGCTTCAAGACCTATCCTCTCCCACATGGTAATCAGAACCACCTCAAGACAGAAGGAAAGTGAAGCAAGCTCATTATCACAGGACAGCAAGATATTTACTTTTTGCACTTAGTAAAGTTTTCAGTGTTAGTGAATGAAAAAGTTTCTAGATGTTTATTTCTGGATGTGCATAAGGGTGAGGGTACCATAACTATGTGCCTACAGTACAACTGCATTCATTAATGTGTTTCATATGTAAAGTATAAGCTGAAAATATTCTGCTTCAAATGGCTGGAGATGCATTTTTGTTAGTATCTCTATAACCGTGCCTTTCCTCTGTTAAGTACTTGTTAAGTAATCATTTACTCATCTTGTCCTTTCTCAGTGGTAAAAGCCATCTACTTCACTCAGTCCTAGTGAACACACTAAGAAAGATACCTCCCATCCGTCATTGGCCCCTTCAAGATGCTGGGATGTCTCAATCCAGGAGAACTAGCAAATGAGACAGATCCTCATGGTGGGGAATAATAAATAAGGACAAGTGCGTAGGTGATAAGGCTAAAGTGGGACATTATTGGTGACAAAGAAAAAGGTTGTTTTAAAGGTGCATCTACTCAGCTAAAACCATGATATATGAGTCCTATTTTGAATGCAGCATATGTCCTAGAAGCAAACTAGACACTGAATGTTGCCTTTGTTCCTTTTTAGGAGTGTAAACACTACCTTATGTTCTCAAGTAAGAAGACACTAATCAGACTTAGAGGCAGCCACTCAAACAAGTAGAGTGAAAACTCACAAGATATTCTTGCTTAACGTGAAACAGCGTATGTAAACACCCACAAAAATCACCTATTCAGATAATACCAGACAGCCCATATGGATTGTCACAATGCAGCACCATAGCAGCAGTTTGATTTGAAGAACAGTCTTGCTGCTCATCCCATCACATTTACTGAGCAGTGGCAGCATTAGCAGCACTGTGATTTACTCTCTGCTTTCAATGGGTCTAAGTCCAGTTTTGGTTTCCCCAAATCATTCTCTTCATTGGGGAACGTTCTGTAGTTGGCAAGGATATTTTCCACCAAGAATCGAGCAGCTTCATCTATGTTGACGTTGTCCTAAAAAATTTCAAAGCAAAGAAGTCAGTGATTTTTTTTGAAATCATCATACATTTCTATTAAGAGCTGACCAAATACAAAAACCCCCCCTCTTCTACAGTCTCACAAGCACGACACAAACAGCTTAGATACATCAGAGGCCATTGTTCATACACAAGCTTGTTGAAAAAAGTTACCAAAAAGGTTTGGGATAAAGCTATTCACCCAGATTACAAATAGGATACTTTGACTGTGATCTAGTATGCAGTCAGGGAAAAATGCCACCTGCATTTAGAAGGCTCACAAATGCCAAACTGCATTTCTGCATCAGGAAAGACAATCGGCAATTAGTTCATAGTAGTGTTCTACCTTTTGGAGCCTTTTTCCATTTCTGCTGCAGTTTGGATGTACTTATATATGTAAAAGGACCTTTTCTATCAGCCTCAAAGCCCTAGTTAAATCAGGGTGCCTCATCTAGCCACACTACATTTTCTTGTACATGCCTTGAAAAGCACCAAAATGTACATTCTAAAGAAGGTAACATCAGGATACCCTGATGAAATACATCTCTAGGAATCTCAGTTACTGAGACACCAAGCTGGCTTTGACCTGGCTGGGCCACCTGTTAGCTCACCACAGGGCTGCCACATTTAGAATTGTTCCTCTTTGGTTCCAAAGGAAACACCACTCCAGTACACTCTTCTGGCTTCATAACTATAGATCTAAACTCTACACAAGCAAGGCTAGATCATGGGAACATCTGACCTGTCACTACTGCACTTTACAAGCTTGTGGTTGTGAGCCACAAACTGCTTTTGGCAGTTTGCAGATAGTCACCTTTTCCTGTCCAGAGTGAAGAAGGATTCTCCTCGTTTTAGTATAAGGATGTTCATAAGATGCATATTTATACTTTCTGCAGTTCTTTTGCCTTTAATATCGTTCCTAATCCACAGGAAGTGGGACCTATGTTACTCATAACTAGACTGAAGTCAAATATCAGTTCCAGCAGAAAAGCAAAGGCCGATTATCAGGATATTTAAGAGAGCAGGACTTAAAATCAAACTTATTTGGTATGCTTAGAAAATAAGAAAGCTGTCCTGAATTTTTGCTAAGTTATTTTAACTACACCTCTTCATAGTGCTAAACAAGTCAATTTGTAACTGAACTAGAACTAAAATGGGCTGGACTTTTCTCTGGAACAAGAACCTTGTTTTACATTGTTGGGTCTTAAATGCCACCTAAAATGCAAGCTGTAGCCAACTTTCGCATTAGGTTTTGTTCCAATGTTACTTGCATTTATTTCTAATGCATGTTGAAGTTTATACATAGCAGTGTTATAGGCAGGTGAAGCTTCAGGAAGATATAGCCCAAAGCAAAATCTTGGTATTCTCCTCGAGTATAAAGAGCCTTAAAATGTGAGATTTTTAGTAACAGATGGGTGGGTTGATCAGCTACTTTAACTAATTTCTGTTACTGAGTACCCCTCTTCCTTATTTTCAAGTCATTGGGAAGAAGCTTATTAATGAATTACTTATTCCTCTTACAGAATTTTTCCCCCCTCTTTAAAATAATTAAGCATTATTTTGTGTCAGTTCATCAGCAGTAGTTAAAGAAAGTAGGCAAGCCAAGGGCAAAGAGGGACCTTGAGATTTAGTTTAACATATAAAGGAGTAATCAGCCAGACTAGTAATTTGGTCTATCTGTCACATTATCTTAATCTAGAAGAACCTTTCTTCTTATGGATTGATAAAGTTTTAAGGAACTCTTGGATTCCACTTCCAAATAAGCTACTGCAAGCTTATATGTGCATTGATCAAGTCTGTAGACTGAGTGTATAATATATGCAGTCACCCAAAACCAGCTGCTTTATTCAAACATTATTTCTTAGCTCAAGTTACTAAACAGAAGAATTTGTTCTTTTCCAGCTCAGTCTTGACACTGCATGATAAGATAGGAAAATGCTTTAGGAACATTATCATCTCAGTAGGTAGTAACAAGTGCGGAAATAGCTTGTTCACTTCTGGAGTCTTACCACTTCCTATGTGCAACAGTGAAGACAGAAGCTGCCCATTTAAGAACCTGCACCTAAAGATTACTTGTATCTTTTTGGATAGTTAGATCAGTGTTTAGTAGTACTCACATCTAAAGATGTGAGGCTCTGATGCTGATGCATGCAAGATAAGAAGAAACCTATCAAATTCAGTTAATCAAGGTTCCCAGTTAGTTTTAAGGTACTCTGAATTTAAGATGCAGTTCTAATCTAAACCAAATCATCCTCAGGAGTGAGCTAGCCTGCACATTACTTCCAACTCTTGCTGAACACCAGCAGCTTGACTGTCACTTCCTATACTTCATAAATTTATTCCCCACATGACTATATTCATCCATTCTTGTGCCAATACTTAGAAGAATTAAAATGTGTTGTTTCTTTATGCTTACCTTGGCAGATGTTTCAAACCATCCAACAAAGCCACCTTCTCTGCAGAACTGGTCCATCTGAGAGGGATTGTGGCTGCCATCTTTCTTTTGGTCACACTTGTTTGCAAGAAGAACAGCAGGGATGGGGCTGCCATTGGGAAGTAGTACTTTACTGTCCAAATCATGCTTCCATTTTGAAACAGCCTCAAAAGTGGAACCTCTTGTGACATCAAAGACCACAAAAGCACCAACTGCCTCTTTGTAGTAAACTCTGGTCATATTTCCAAAGCGCTCCTGGCCTGAAAGAGAGGACAGTGACAGAGTATATTTATATTTAAGCATGAACTGTAATCAGTGTAAATAGGCTTCTGTACCAGGTTAGTACATATGAGTCTGGCATTCAAGTCTAGTCACCTAGTTCATACAGCATTGCCTCTTCTATCCTATGTAAGCTCATTGAAACAGCCATTCTGTGTAACATACAGGACAGGTCAGATGTTAAAAGCAGTTTGCAATTCCAACTACCACCTTTTTTTAAACTTAGCAGAGTAATATTCTTTGAGAATAATAATAATGCCTAAAAACACTATCAGCACAGCCATACACAAATAATTACTTTCTCAAAAAAACTTCTGCAAGCTTCAGATATAAACCTAGTTACTTCAGCTACAGACTTAAGCAAACTCAGAGCTTTTTTTTTTAAACCAAAGATTTCTACAAGCTCTGAGACTAACAGCCTTCAAAGCACCTTCTGAAGAAGTCACCTACATTACAGATTTTTCCTTAGAGCCAAGCTCCAAAGGAGCTAGCTTAATCGCACCAGCTAAACCTCTTATTTTTTTACTTCAGTTTTTGTGTCTAAGACCTTCTCTGGAATAATTTCCAACTGTAGCAGTTCTACAGCAATTCCAGGATTTGAAACAAGATAAATCAGAATAGTTAAAGTACAATTATTCACAACAAAAATCCAGAAGAAAGCCAATAGTCAGTGAGTACAGCAAACTAAAAAAGCCTTTTCTTTAGTACAACTATTGTAGTCAGTATACTTGAAATGTAGAATTAGAGTGTCAGTTCAGTTATTATTCTGTTTGGAAGGTCAGACCATCATGCGGTATTTGTATTTGAGTGGGCAGAGCAGTATCAAGTGCTAGCATGTTGCTCAAGAAGTTCAGGCTACTAAAATTGCTTTCTGCTTTGTTTGTATGTCTTCATTGGGAAAAAATACTCCCTGTGCTTTGTAGTTTAGTTTTACAGTGTATCATCACTTCAGCTTTTATGATTTAGTGCATGTGCTGTTTTAGAATAAAAATTTTATTTGGAAACAGTTGTCCTCTGTTTATAAACATTCAAGTATGCCTTTGATTAGCAAGGACAAATAGTTAAAAGAACTGGGTATTACCATCTTCTCAGAAACAAACAAATTAATTAGGTGAAAGAACTAGACAAAGGATCCTGTTTAACAGCATGCTTTTCTGGCTCAGTTGCCTCATTTTAACAGCAGTACCTCAGTGTACCAATTCATTCATTCCCTATATAGATTTTCAGAAAAGTCTGACTAAGCAGCTGCTAGAATTGCCTGAAAGTAGAAGCAGCTACAGTGAAGTTCCAGAGAAATATAAAGCTCTATAAAGCTGACTATTTCTGCTGTTCATCTTTAAAGTATCATGCTGCATGAAACAGCATCACTAGCCAGCATATTCTAAGCAGAAATTACACAGGGATTTTGATCCTATCAGCTCATTATCCTGTGTGAGAACAGGGAGCATGCAAGAGGAAAACTCTTCTCCTTTATAGTCAAAGCTCAAGTTTTGAAGCAGCATTTGTGCCAGGGACTCCAAGGCCAACAAGCCAGGCATCAAGAAGCCTGCATTTCAGTGACTATGTCACTGGAAGAGTCACAACGCTGATACAAGTCTCCTACACAGTGTACACAGAACTTGTATACCACTAACTCACATTGTCTCCCAAAGCCTTTCCAGGTTGGATTCTCATGTCTAAAAGCTGGCTTTAGTACAGCCTTACTGCAAATTGTTGTACCATCTGCTCACTGTTTTAATGAATCAAACACCATTAGGAAAGAGTCTGGCCAAAAGGCTTCTGCACATCAAGTGTGCAACAGCTGAAGACTTACTTTTAGACTGTGATGATTTTGTATTTTAAATGGAGCTGCATACAGTCAAATTTAATTATATTAAGCTAGTCACTCCAAATGGCACCACACAAGCTAAGAGAAGTTTCTTCTCAGCTTCCCCATTTGTTTAGTTGTCAGTCTCACCACCAATTCCTGTTATATGTGAATATCTCCAACTGTGCTAAAGCATCAAGACTTGTGTCCATTTCAGGTAGTATATCCCTTCATACTGTAAGAGGCCCACAAAACAAATGGCATAATCTCAGGATCTACAGTGCTCTGACCAACCTCAGTCTTCTACAGAAAGTTTTCTTCAGTTTGGCCCTAAAACGGTCTAGAAATGGATACCACTTGCTGTTCTTTACATGAGACTGCAGATGAATCTAAAGCAGTGAGGGGAACAGCCCCATTAGACCTCCCTATTTAGCTTTTAGAGATCTGTGGGGATTTTTGTCTTTCTTTTTTTTTAACTAAGGCTATAAGTTTTTCCAAAAACTTGATGGATGTTTACATAAGAAAACTAAGTTGCGTGGATTAGTTGCAGAAAGGATTGCTAGACTTACCAGCAAGGAGTAGAGACAACATAATCACTACATGTGAAAATTAAGTTGAGAATCGCAAAAAAGGTTATCAGACAGTCACCATTTCTCAGACAGCTGTGCATGCTGTAGGTAAACTTGGCTGTAATCAGTTACCACAGTGAAGCGCATTACCACTGACTGAGTCCCTTCCTGCCTACTGCTCTCCCATTCGTAAAAAGTTTTAAAGATAAAGGCCATAGTACCCTCCTATAGCAATAAACCTTGCTGAAACCTGCACACAGCACAGTGCATTTAAGACGTACAAAAGAAACTGACCTAGTGCAGCATCACATATATCTTTCAAAGAAAAGAAACAAAGTCACAAAGTATGTATCATAAGCAAGCTTGAAGAGTCCTAAACAACACCCAAACACAAAGAAATAACAGGTGTCCTAGCCTTGGACAGAAAGTCTGGTCATCATGCACAGACAGGTCTTCCAATATTCCATTGCCAAGAGAATTCCCATCATCTTACCATAGTCAGTCTTCCCCAACCACCTAACCCAGTGGGCTACAAGGAGCTGGAGAGCTGCGCTGACTGGTAATCAACCAAGATTGCCTGGCCATTACTTCCTGATGCTGGTGACTTCCCATGCCTCAGTATCCTCCAGTCTACATGAAGCTTAACACCATGGCAGCCCTTTCCTCTGTGGAGAAAAGTCAGCTGTGCTATGCCAAAAAGTCAAAAATGGCCTTGCAGCTGTGCAGCAGACTAACTGAATCCCTTCAGAGGTCCTGACCAGTAGAGAGGCCACTGCAAGTGGCAGATTCAGGAGCTCTGGAATAATGCAAAAGCCAAGGTTAGCTTTGTACAGTAGCTTTTCTCATTGTGTGAGAAGACAGCACTTCTGGTAGGAACGTAAGCCTGCACTGACTTGTACTTTACTTTGTACTCTATAGCAGTCACTCAAAAAGCACGGGCTTCAGCTGTCCAGAACAATCATTTCAGTTTGTATTGATGTACAATGGATGGCTGTATTGATAGAAGCCCAAAATTTTTGCTGTTATAGTATGATGTAACATCTGGGAAGAAAACATTAATACATATTCCTCTGTAATTTAAATTTGGGTGAAATCAGACAATAGAAGTGCATATATAGGCCTATATAAAAGCCTCCATCTTTATAAGGGTTTCAAGCTTTACATTAGACAGATTTGATAACTCTTCCCCTTAAACACACACACCACCACTGTAGTATTACAGATTAATGCCTTTTAATGGGTCAAATACACTCCGCTATGAGTGCTGACCTTTCCTGAAGTAGTCTAAACTCCAGGACAGTTTATTACACAGAGCTGCTTTCACCTCTAGAATTCACATCCACTAACAACAGACCTGACCTGTGTGTAACTCTATGACTGCTCTTCCCTTCTGTTTCAACATCTTACATTGATACATTCCTTTTATTCCACAGAGAGATGACAGAAGCAATAACACACTGCCTGCCTAAAAGGTAGGAGCTGTCTTGTGGTAAAAGGTACATGGCATGAGGCAGGACGAGAATGCAGTATAAACTGAGTAGACTTTCTTTACAGTTCTGTTAATACTAACAGTGTACGTGCTTTATGCTGAGCTTCTTGTAGGGGAAGCAGAGCACTCTAGACAGTCTTTTGAAAATTTAACAGGACTTTCAGGCAAAGCTTCTGCAAGTGCTTTTCTGCTTGGAAAAAAAAAAATCACAGAAAAAGCAAACTGTAGAACTCACCACTCCCTCGATACTCTGTTTAGGTATTAGAACTAAATTGACTCAGTTTTTGCCATGTTCAGTGCAGCCAAGGATTTGCCATTCCTTTTCTTACATGCAGCAGAATTTTTGCTGTAGTCACTGCACCATGTGAGAGGATAGTGTTGAGCAGTACCAGAAGTGGATCACACCCCCAGAGGGGAAAAAGTCTAAAAGTGATCAGATTAAAGCAGACTTAAAATCTCCAGCACGTATAATCATGAAAGGAAGATGACAGTATGGAAAGGACATCAGAAGATTAATCATTCTGGCAATTTTAGTGCCTTGACATAAATCTGACAGCAGCACAAAGTTATTCTTTCTCTGTGCTTTAGGGGTTCATGTGTAAATGAGGAGCTAAGCTACAGGGCAGTTATGAGGATGAGAAGTTTTTGTCTGGGGGTATGGAAGTGGCTGCATGCAATGTCAAGTTCTGCATTCTCTAACCATAACATTTTCACATCTAAATGACTCAGCACATATTGTCACCATGTTTTCCAGTAATTGCAACAAGATTAAGTTAAATACTTGCATAGTATCATGCATCAGGAAATAATTTGGTTCCCTACAGTCACATCACAGGAAGCTATTATTGCTTCCTAGTTTAAAATGTAACAGGAGTAAACTGTTTACAGGAGTAAAATCTTAAGTTAAGAAACATGATAAAAAGTATAGCCGAGTCTGACATTAATAGTTTTATCTTTGCCCTTTACTTCACTGCAAGAGGTAAGTTATCATCATAAGATTCAGACACTGCCAACCTTGCCTTGAAGTACATTTTAAGGAGTTTCCACAGCAATCTTTCTCGGTGTAAGGAATAAACAAGAAAGTCCTGTTCATCACAATACTGTGACTTATCATGA